ATTATTACCCCTCAGGGGGGAAGTCGGCGATTATGAATCCGAGAAGTTGCTCAGGGATTCGGTAAAAACACAAACAAAGTATTTAAGAAATACAATCCCCCCTCCCCCCGCAAAAGATAAAAAAAAAAGCATCTTTTAACAATGTCTGGCAAACATAACATCATGCCATGAGAGGCATATTTTATAATTATAATTTCCATAGGGAAAAAAAGCAGTTATCCAGAAATCTTTCTTCACCATTGTCCTCTAAGAGGATCTGGAAGGACTCTGCTGCCTCTTACACAAAAATATTTTTTTCACTTGGTTTGCTTACTCTACTGTTCAATGCTTTGTGGGTTATAAGAAATTGAAGGTCCCTCATTCTCCCACCCAAGGCTGCTGAAGTAGAAGGTAGTAATTATTAAAAGAGAAAACAAACCAAAAAGAGGCAAAGAAATCACTAGTATGAAAGAAAACTAATTTCATACTAGTTTGAAACTCATTGCAATCAAATTTCAGAATATTTTTTTGCTCATGGGTAAGTATCCTCTGAAAGGTGATTTTATATAATTAAAATTAATACATAATATTCATTAATATATTCATAATATAACTTAATATTTATTAATATTCTGGAAAATAAGTAGACTTTCTAAGGATGCAAAAGAAAAAGTAATATATGCTGTTGATATCTGAGCTGATCTTTAAAATTTCTATTAATGTATATGCATTGACAGGTAGTAGAGAATAGTGATTAAAATTATTGCCTTCAGGATCAGCCTTCAGCTCTGGGTTATATAATTTAACCTATAAGCCTAGATTACCAAATGCATAAAACCCAATAGAATAGAATGGTTGAGAGGATCAATGAGGCAATGCCCGTAAAACACTTGGTACTTTATCTGCACACAGTAAGCAATAGGAGCTATTATTTTGTAATATTGTGTTGTTCTAAAAGACAACTGGCAGAAAATAGAGAAAACATTTGAAACTTAATATTTGTCATATGTTTGATACCATTGTGAAGTTAATGTGTGATACTAGAACAGTATAGAAGTGCTATTGCACTTTCTAGGGGTGTTAATAGATATTAATTGACCATTGAAATGCTGTGTGTGAAAATTATTTTTTGAAATATCCTTGTGATATGTTCTATATAAAACATCTTTTGTATTTTCTCTGCCTCAAGGAACAGCAAGCGGAACTGTGCCGACATCAGTGCTGTCCTATTCTGATTACATATCCAGGCCTGAGGACCATACTAGTGTCATCCGCTTTGACAAACATGAGCATGAGAAAATGTGTCGGATTGTTGTGATTGATGACTCCCTGTATGAAGAGGAAGAGACATTCCATGTCCTTCTGAGCATGCCTATGGGTGGTAGAATTGGATCAGAATTCCCAGGGGCTTGGGTTACAATCATCCCTGACAAAAATGATGGTAAGTACTAATACACCTGAAAAGTATTCTTCTTTCCAGGCAGATGAACATTAAGCACAGATTTCTAGACAAAAAATAAAAAATAAAAAAATGACAGTGTAAAAAATACCACATTCACATTAATTTTACGCTTGATTTTATGGTATGATTAAGTTTCAAGTTGGCTGTATCAAACAATTTGTCTTCATTAATTTAATATTTTTATTAAATTTATTAGGCTGACACTGGTTGACATAAATATATGTTCAGGTGTGGGTTTCTGTTACAAGATC